CCCTGAAAATAGGATCATGATCAATTACTAGCCTATTCGATGAAGAACCCTACGAGATAGGCTAAAATTCAGAAAGGTCTGAAAAACTCTGAAAGAATAYGAGGAGAAARAATATGAGAAGTTTCCTTYTMAACTGCTCAAATTCTGAACTTTTTAAGAAAAGATYGCCACCACAACGATATGGTACTTGTCAATTTTGAMTTAGTTGTAACTGTCTCGGTGCCYTTTTTGCCTTTGCRTCGGAGCCATGCATGCGAACCTCCCCTCCCCGCTTCCYTCGCTACCTTCGACACTCTCTTCTTCACGCTCACGCTCCTTCTTTCTCCGTAACYGTTTTCCATCTCTCCTTCGCCTCGCSCACCTTTTCTCTTTCTTGATCGTCTTAATCTTGGTTCCGTTCCGCGCTATCCCTCGCGCTCTTCTTCTTCCCGCTCTAATCTTCGCGYSGAAATACTCTGTCGACTCCCTTTTCCTCCCCTCTAGCMAAGGAGAYGCGCYGTGTAAGAGGGAAATTCCTGTTACACGACGATTCTGATTGGCTACGACGGGGATCCAAAGGATCGATATGGCTTTCRTAGGGCGAGCATCCCCGAACCTTCMCCTACCCTTCCCTACCTCAGTCCTAATCCTCCCTAGCATCTATCTCCTTTTCYGCAGCTATAAATTYYGCAAGTGTTYCGGAAATCCCTCTCTCAACCCGTCGGCGAGCTTTCAGGAAGCAGGGGCTAGATGGCGTGTGTAAAGGCGAGTCRAAGAATCYTGACGGGCGGGCTGTAGTCTTGTTGGYCGTGCGCKGGATCGCCCAACGGATTGTGGGATTCGGGCAGGACCTACAAAGACTAAGTCGGCGGGGTGACGATCGCTATGGCRGAGTAGCACGTGGCGGTCGGGATCGCCAGTGYTGGTGTGACCGCGTGAGGTTCGAATTCGAAGTTGAGTGAATACATGGGCAGGGGCCATGATGAAATTCTATGGYGGATGCGCCCCCTTCRTCTCGAATCGATGTTTTTTWGCGTGAGTTTTGSCCRTACGRCATTAAATTGAAGTTTCTCGCKRAGATCACCGGACCTTCTTGCGTCCTTATCTTCGRCTCTCTTTCCCCGACCTACACCTCTCCTCCCTCGTACCCTTCTTCAGTCATATCTCCATGGRTGAGTCATGGTGARTTCCGCGCGCGCCTTTTCTCCCTTAAAYCCACGTGGCGACGGACCTTCTTCTTGCTACAGTCGGACCAACATGGGGGATTTCGGTTCTGTTTGTGTCCCCACACTCAATTTTTYAAAAATCCTTGGYAGAYGYCAWCTTTGCTGCCTTTCCYGGGCCCCTTTCCGCACACCAAAWCACTCCGACCGRAAAGCAGYGCAGGGCGTGAGGCTGGTATCGGAGCTGACACGTGTCGGTTCTGACGTTAGTAAGACGAGYCGGCGAGAGGAAGACAAGCCAACCGATCTAATCGRCGGAGTCRTCSTGTTACCCGACAAAGGTCCACSGAAACACGACKAGAAATGTAGATGGCTGATGCTAAYGGAGCGGCTCCTCGGGTGATGGTAAGCATCTCCGCCACCTTTCCATTTTACCCCAACTATACYCATCCCGAGGCATGGCTCGAAACCGTGCAAGCTCAGGGATATGGCACTGAGGATCTTCCTCGTGTCATCACCCTGCTTCTCCGAAACAMCGCTCATGATTGGTTTAGAAGACMTAGGTGGGTAGATTGGGATACCTTCAAGAGAGCATTCCTAGCAAGATTCGATGAAGTCAGTGAG